CCTCGGCACACGGTGGCTGCGTTGGAACAAAAATGCTGCCAGCAGCTTCAGTATCCTAGCAAGCGTTGGGCCTGGTGCTGCCAAGTTGTTCAATCGGGTTGCACAATTTTCAGCGTGTCGTAAGGCCAGGAATCGCAGGGTGGAGTATTCCGAGAGGCTGACTGTTTGCACATATCAATGTTGAGAAGCAGTTGGTTTTCTGTGTTGTTGGAGGAATGGCGACTGCCATGCGGATGAGAAACTTCGAGGCCTTACAATGAAACTTTGAGTGCTGACGCTTGTGCTGGCGGGTCATCAGGAAGGGTATTGTGCAAAGACGTGAAACTTCCACAGCAGCCTGCTGGAAGGCCGGGCAGGTGCAGAACGAGGATTTTGGACAGTGCCTTCTCCGAGGTGGTTTCCTGGCAGCCCTTGGACAGCTTACACAACACCTGGTAGCCAGCACTTTTAGCCAGCACTTTTAGCATGTATGAGTCTTCCAGGTCCAGAAGCACAAGCCGCCACATACAGCTGGGTGCGCCCCCCCCGTTTTGCCACGGTTTGAGTTTGCAGCCAGAAAAAGCAAGCAGGAATTCCGCACCCATAAGACCGAAGTCCATCTCAAGCTTACATGCGTGGCAGCCGTCAGGAACTGAACCAGAAGAGGGCCGTCTCCTTGCTGTTGGCCGGCTCCGTTTCTGGCTTGTTAGGCAAGGTGCCTTAGCCATTTTGTTCGGAATTGTGGCATGAGTTCGCTGCACCGCGTGGAGGCTTTCTGTTCGCCGGAATACTGGGCATACACAACTATTATAGTGGAGGTCTGGGCAGCCAATGTTTAAGGTTCATTGGAAGTGCGGCCTTTGAACGCAGGCTTTCAACAGCTTTGGGCTCACAACAAGACATTCACGGCCGCTCAGTTTCTGAGAGAAGTTTAAGACTGCTTTGTTCCTAGCCTTTTCGCACCAAGTTGGAAAACAACTTCATGGGGGAACCCTTTCCATCTGGCCACAACTACTGCCCACAGACGGTTGCGCTCTCTGCTGCAAATGCTGTGAGGTGTCAGTGGTTTTGTTTGTTGGCAGTTGGTTGCATGACTTGCTGAGGTGAGTGAGCTGGTGCATGACCACCAAAGCGCGGAGGGCAAGCTGTTCTTCGGGTTCGGGCTCCTTGCAGTGCTCCTACCATGGATTCAGTGATCTGACAGCTTTCAGATTCTGACGCGTTGCCAGGCAATCTGCATTCTGGCCTCCTGGTACCCAGCACACCTCCGCAGCTTAGCTACCAGTACAGGGTTCCCAATGCCCAGAAGTTACTGTTGCTGATCAGCTCCGCGTGGCACGCAAGCCCAAAAAAGTTTGATTCCCCTTCGCCGAGGAAATGTGTACGTGGGCGATAAGGTGGCCGTTTGTGGTTGCTGCGGGCCCACGTGGCAGAACATGCGACAGGCCGTTTTGCTTTTTCGGTGTCGCTCTGATTTGTGGACACGGGATTTCCGGACAGTTCTGCCCGTCCATTGGCCTTTTCCTTGTGACGTGCATCCCTACGGTGCCACCAGTGGTGCTCTCAAGTGGTGGCAAGACCTGCAAATCAGCAACCAAGTTTTCCTGAGCGGGTCAGCCAGGCGAATCGCCACTTCGGTGAGCACTTCACCGTTTTGTTGTGCGGTCCTCAAACAAGTAAAAAATGAAGTAAACGTTGACGGCTGCACAGCTTGCCAGGCACACAGCTGGGGCCATCATGATGGTTGGCGGATACGGGCTTTGCGAGATAGTCACGCTCAGACACGCATGTGCGCGTCGCAAGGACCCAGATGCATGCTCTGGCTGGCTGTCCTGGGCCTGTAGGCATGCCCAGTCCCTGCTGCGAGGATTCGCCCAGGGGACCCATTTTGAAGCCCGACACTCGTTGTGCACGCTTTGCAACAGCTAGCAACATGACCATGCTCCATCGGACTGGCCGTCAAGCTGAATCATGATATGAAAGCTGCTCTAAGCCCCCGCCTATTTTAGCAGAACTAAGTGCGGCATCAGGGTACTGCAAGGGGTTGCAAAAATGCATGCATATGCAAGCTCGCGGAAGTGTGGCGCAAAAACATTTGCCTCCTCATGCATGTTGACTTTATGCATACATGTAAAATGTACCAGGCAGGAGCGTACTCTGACATTGAAACCCAATTGCGCCAGCGAGTTCCATACCTACTGCATCCTATTGCACTCCTTCCTTCAGCTCGTCGTCTTCTTGAGTTTTGAGCGCATCCAAAGTGTTCGTGTTTGTTGGAATAGGAGGACACTTTGGTTCAAAGCGATCTGCACAGGCAGTTCTGCAACATGACAATTCAATTGCCCAGTTGAACATTTCATGTGTTGAGGCATACGCAGAAACTGTATATTTGCCGCTGCCATTTCGGACGAAGACGACTTGTTTAGATCCCTGAAGGATCTCAGATTTTCCTCTCTCACGTTTTTTCAGTAGGTCTGGGCCTGGGAGAGGTCATGGCTCAGCGAGAACCATGGGAACACTAAAGGCTGATATGAAGTTCGCCTTCCTCAGCACAATGAACCTGTTGCACCTTGTAACCTTGTGACGATGACGCAAGGCGGACAGAGGTCACCGTGGCCAACACGAAGGATTCCAGGATGGTCTCGCTTTCGTTGGTGCGGGAGATCATGACCGCTAGTGCCTCCCAACTCCGGGTACCACGCCAGTGTGTTCGCCAATTACACGTTGGATGACGCGGTTGACAGTTAGCAACATCTCGACTCTCATCAGTCGGGCGTTATTGGGTCTACCTACTCTGGCTGCCTGTCTCGCCTCTGGGTGCCCTGCCTTGTCTGGGCCGGGACTCGCCTGCAATCTCGGTCCTGGCAGGTGTGCATTCCGGACGCCCAGCCCTACCTCTCGTGCGCCTCTGCCCTGTTTCAGGCTGGCCCCTCTACCAGTGTCATTGCACGGTGCCTGTTGCCACAGGCCGCTTTTCTGGTGTTCAGGTTCCTGTGCCTAGTCACCATATGCACCGGGTTTTGTTACTGTGCAAACGCCCTCGTTTTGATTCAAACCTTGGCGCTTGCCTGCTGGTGGTGCAGCCAGTTGCCACCCACGAACAGCTGACGGGCCAGGCCCCCACGTTAGCCTTCAAACCTGCCCGTCATCCAAGGCGCTGCAGCTGCAACGCGCGCCATTGCCCGCTATCCACGCTGTGAGGCATGGTGTGCCTTCTGTGATGGCATGCTGCCAGAATGGCTTCTGTCTGTCTTGAGCCCTTCTAGCCTGTCTGTGATGGGCTTTAAATCTGCAGTTGGCCGTCTGCAAGGCCTTTTTGGCGCCCACTGCCCCTGCGCCGCGTAGTGAATCCTTGACCTTTAGGTGTCATTTGTTGCCTGGCTGGAGTGCGAGGTCTGCGCCTCGGAATTCATCATCCAGGCGGGCACTGCTTCCTCCTCTGCTTGCCAAGTTCCCCCTGACAGGCTGAGGGACCTTTGCAAGCAGCTTCTCATCAACCCTGGTGAATTTCTGACTGCCCTTTGAGGAGTTTCTGTCCCCTCTCTGTGAGGCGCTTGATGCTACGATGTCCATCTGGATACCCAAGCAGCGACCTGTCCCTGACTTTTCTGCCATTTGACATTCCGCCTAAAAGAAAACAACAGTAGGTGTGCTTGCGCTGGCTGCGTTTTTGTTTTCTGTCTGTCCAGCTCTGCTTGGGCACCATCAACGCAGGCGGTCGAGGGCCTTTGCTGAGACGCTGTGCTGGCAATTGTTAGTCTAGCGCTTTGGCGCGCTCTCAGAGGTTCACCGATAAAGATAAGGAAGACAACAGAGAGGTCACATGGTGGGCGCTGAGAGGTGTGACGCCAGGTGCCGCAAAGCTCAAGCTCTGTTCGCTGAAAATTGACAGGGCCAAGAGCCGAGGCTGGAGGTCTTTGCGACCAAGCTGGCGACTTGGACAAGCTTTCTCAGCCCGCTGCGCTCATGGTGGAAGACATTGTGATTGGACAAGCTCAGCCAGTTCCACCCATCGCTCGCTAGGCGGCCTCTGCGCTACCAGACTGGGTCCCGATGCAAAGGTGTGGTTCAGAAAAATAGGTCAGAGGCTGTGGCAGCGCAGCCTCGAACCTAACCAACCGGACCGCCGTGATCATGAAGAAACTCCAGCTGCCGAATATGAATCTCAACGTTGCGGTGCTTGGAGAGCTCGAGACCAGATTTGGTGGGCGACAGTTAGCGTTGTGGGTTCTGGGTGAGGGAACAGCCTACCGTCAGTGGCAAGTTCAACCAAATCATCGAAAGTTCACATTGACCTGCTTTAAGGATCCTGGTGATGGCGTCGCGAAGTTCTTTGTGATGATCAGTCACCCCTTCGGGTTGATGGTAGCAGTCTACAACGACAACAGGGGCCTGCGGCGATGAACGGTATCCTCGCAGTGGTCTTTAACTTTGTGCGGCCTTAAACTTCTACGACGACAAATACAGTTTCGAGATCTCCGAAACTAGGAGCTGGCTTCGTTCAGAAGAAGCTCCAGCTCCGTGCCTCCAGTGAGCATCGGGCCCGCCTGCAACCTGGAAAAGATGATGTCAGAAGGAGAGGAGTTGACAATATTGACGGTGTCGCGCAGGCTGGAACTGGGTCCGGGCAAGCTCATGTTTGGGTCCCAGCTTTCGTCAGGTCCATCTCCGAGCGGTAATACCTCAAAGGTCAGTCCACTGATTGGCTGACGCTCAACGGCGTAGAGAGATTCCTTAATCTTGAACGGCGGAGGAGATTAGTTTTGTCGGGGCCACCAAGAGAGATCTCCACTAGGTCCACAAATAGAGTCGACGTGGTGATCTTTACCGATGGCTTCGTGCCAGATCTCCGTTGATGTGAAGAAGGCTTAGCTCAAATTGGCTGAGTTTTCTTCGGCCGCCGGCTTCTTCAAACTCATCAGTTCATCAGTGAAGTCTGCCAGCAATGGCTGACTCGGAAGATTCACACTGTGCCCATCGAGATGGTGGCTCCCCTGTCCAAGGCAGAGACAGAGACGTTTTTCTACCAATCGACTCTGAAGCAGTTGAAGCGGCTTTCGTGAGAGGATAGAGAATCTCTCGGAGCTGTTGGAGATCTAGCGTTGGGGTTTAAAGCCAACGTCTTCATAGACAAGATCTGGTCGGGTGCGAAAGCAGCGGTTGGCCTTTTGACGATGGCTGAGTCTGGGCGAGCGGCGAGCTTGCTGGCTGGCAAGGAGTTCCGTGCAGTTGGTTTGAGATCCCGAGAGAAGTTCCTCGTGAAGAGACCAGCTCTCGTTGGGGTGTTGTGGGCCTGCGTGGATTGTTCAGCTGCCTACCTAGATCTTACAAAGAGGTGGGCTTTCGCTGTTTGGACTTGTCATTTGTCAAGGTTCTTGTCAAGATTTGATTGCGTTTGGAAATCGCCATGCTCAACCCCACGTTAGAGCAGCAAAAAGTGGGGGCACGCGCGCCTGCTGTTGCAAAGCTTTTTGTTGTAAAGTGGCAACTTGTATCCCAGGGTTATGTGGGAGTCTCCCCATGGCTGCCGTGACAAGATTCAACTTGCCACCGTGAGGCGTACGTAAGAAGTGCGCGTGCCGAGTACTCGTGTCCATGTTTCCAACTGCTGGGCGTCAGAAGATGTCTCTTTACAATCCCTGATTTGAGGGCCCTGACATATCGTAGCAAGTTTCCGAAGCTTGCTAGATTTGAAGTCCAAAGTGAGAACTAAAGGTGTCAAATAGGGCTGTCTTGTTGCGCGTGCAGTGTGTGTTGTACAGTTTGAGCATGCTGAATTTTGCCACTGCTTCCGCCGACATCTGATAGCCTTTTAGGCGAACACGACCGGTCTGCGTGCTGCTACCCGAGCCTTGTCAAGAGAACAGGGTCTCCTGCGCCCACGCTCTCCCTTGACCGTTCTTGTGGTGGTGACCCCCTGCGCCCGCAATGGCAGCGAGTTCCTTGGGCCATAAACGGGAAACAGGCCTCAGGGAATGTGGATTTCTGGTCTATGCTGGTTCTGTGAAGGACTTCCATGAATGGGAGTTCCGCGCAAGGACAAGACGGAGCCAGACCAAGGATGATGAGAGAGGCCTACTTGCCTCAAAGTTCCCTTGGCTCCGTTCGAGGCGATGCGTGTATCCTGGCAGCGCAGCTCCTGGAAGAAACAAGTTGTGCTGGTCACTTTCCTGCTCTCTGCGCTGCGTGCACCCATGAGCTGGCGCAAAGCACAGCTAGGTGACTCCATTACATGGTGCGGATGGACCTTCCACCTGGACATAGACTGCCTTCACCTGGCGCAGGCAAAACTAGCCAAGCTACGCACTCAGCTGAAAAAGCTGGCAGGTTCAAAGAAAATTCAGAGAAAGTTCCTGGAAAGCTCACTTGGACTTCTCATGTGGGCCATAAGCACGTGTCCGCTTCGCAGGCCATATCTGGCCCCACTCTACAAAGATTTGCGCAGCAGTAGAGGCACACTGCTCCAGATACATGCAAGAGACTGGCGAAGATTTAGGGACAGCCTGTCCCCTTACGCAGTAGTCACAGCTCAGGTGCTGGGCATGTGGATCTCAGCAAAGTCAAAACTTCTTGCAGTAGGCGCCATCACTATCAACAGCAAGCAAGATGTGCCCGCAGTGCCACCTGCGCGCAAGCCGCAGTGGGTCCGCCTCTCAGACCCTTCGAGAAGCGAAGTACACCTTCGCAACGAAAGTAGACAAGCGCTCCGCTGGCTTGCGTCAGGCTTCTCGCATGATCAGCTCCGCGCAATGCGACAAGCTCCCTTACTGCCCTGCATGGCAGCTGCAGACGCTGTGGCAGAGGGGGAAACAATTGGCATAGGAGGCTGGATTAGCACATCCAAGCAGTCCTTTGGTTTTCCGAGACCTGGACCATGACAGAAGCACGCAAATTCTGGCTAGCACTAATTAAGCACGCGCAGGCGTGCATAGCATGCTTTGAGACACTGGCCCAACTCGCATTAGCCATGCTAGCATTTCGCAGGTTGCAATCCAAGCACTTCAAATTTGTGCTTCCTGCAGGAACTACACCAGCATGAAAAAAGGAGCTACAGCATCGCATGTTGACGCTCCCTGATATTCAAACACAAGCATAGCTCGTTCTGAACGTGGCTTTTGCAGCTACGCCCACCTCTGACGCGGAAGGGGTAGAAGCAGCAAGCTACACCGAGGTGCTCGGACCTAAAGATGGGGCATATGTTCCCGTCGACACAGTCACAATCCGAGCACCATCTGCCTAAAAGTCCGTTGCTGCTTTGACCAGCTGTTTTCTGCATGGAGGGCCAAGCGTAGGAAAGTACTTCCTGAACGTAGCACGTTTAATTTTCTCATGCATGTTTTGGAGTACCGTGTCCTCACGCTTGCGTGGCATTATGTGTACTTTCTGTAGCTTGGCCCGGAGCATGCATTTTTCGAAGCACCCACCCACCACGCCCTGTATTAATGCACTGCTTCGCATAGCAAGCTCGCATAGCACAGCATGCTTGCACAGCTCAACTTGTATGATCAATTTCACCGAACACAGCAGGGGCATATGTTCCCGTCGACACAGTCATAATCCGAGCACTTTCTGCCTGAAAGTCCGTTGCTGCTTTGACTTGCTGTTTTCTACATGGAGGGCCAAGCGTAGGAAGGTACTTCCTGAACAGCTAGGGCCGGGCCCTTTTTATCCAGGATGCTGTTGTGCCGCTTTTGGTCTATTTAGCGAAGGTGCTGCTTTTGTTCTGTGCCCCCTTCCTATTTCACTCGATGGTCTTGGCCTCCGGCCCCCTCTCCCCTTCATACCCCTATAAACCTCTGCTTGGGCCACGTGTGGTAATTTTTCCTTTCCTGTAGCCTTATGTTGCATTCCCCTGGAACCTCCCGCGGAGGGGGTTGATAACGCTTACGGAAACCCCTCGGAGGAGGGGTGTGGGAGGCCGCGGCATCGTGAAGAAAAGAGACAAGCACCTTCAGAGACGGAAAATGAAGCCTCATGAAGACAAGACGTAAAATTACGCTTGATCCTGAAAGCGAAACATGTACAGACACCCCACTGACGCCAAAAGAGTCACAGGTGCGAGGTAGGGCTGCTTTGTAGCTCGTACAGTTTGTGTTGTACAATGTGAGCATGTTGCCACTGCTTCCGCAGTCGTGCCCAGTTTGATAGCTCTTTGTGCTAGGCGGAAACGACCGGTCCTCGCAAAAGGGGATTTGAGTGGGTGAAGGGTGGGCGTGGAATAGCTCCGCTAGAAAATTGCATGTTTATACCCAAATTGCGTAACAGGGCACAAGGTTGGGCGCAAGGAACCCTTATCGTTGGGGCATCGATGCTAGAATTTGGAAGAACATCCGTATGCTGCCTAAGTGTTCGACAGTTGCTTCGCATTCATTCAGAATCTCCCGGCTCAGTAGTTTTTTTATGTGTGTTGACTTTTGGAACACCAGTTCCAGACAGACAAGGTTCGGTAAAGAGAATAGGCAACCAACCACATAGAGATGAGGCCTGGGGAATGGCGTGTTCGAGCCGCTCTGATTGGACTGTCTCTTTGCTCTGGGGTTGCCTTCCAAGCGCCGTCCTCAGGTGGAACACCCAAGAATTTTCATGCGGGTCTCATAAGCCATGGTCAGGATGCGCTAACTTTTTGGATTTCATTTCGCACTTCGAAGTTGGACTCATTCCAGGTCTGCGGATTTCTATCGCCAAAGTCCGTTGACTCGTTGGGAACAGATTCATGTCTCCGGCTCAGGCAAGCTCTGTCAAACAGAATGAGTTTTGAAAGCACTGAGGTGCGGACGTGTGGGTGGTTCCCAGCAAGATTGACTTCGAGTACGTGTTGCAAAAGCCAGGCGAATATGGGGCCAAACCTGGAAGCAGCTAAAAGCCAAAACATGAAAAAACATTGCCAGAAGACCCTGAATCAGAGGCGGCGATCACCTGGCCCTGGCTGTGCACATTTCGCAGGATCAGAGTTGGCATCGAAAGGTCTAAGACATAGCGCCCCTCATTCCAGGCCATTGCAGACAAGGAGAAGTTGCTGCTGGACACAGCACATGGCCCGCGGATGCCTTAGAGACCTGCTGAGGCAGCCACCCATTTCATGCCGTTTGCATTTGCTTCCCTTGTTGCAGGTGTCTTCTCCTGAAGACTTTAGAATACTGGTTCGAGGCTCTGGATTCCTTGGCAAAACAACACCAGCATACTGGTAACTAGTGAACTGGCAGGTATCTGCAGGCTTGTTTATGGTCGGGAGCCATCTAGCTGCCAGAGCCTTATCCAGCCTTGAATTGTGTTCAGCCCTGTGGTCTTGAAGCATCGGGCTCATTTTTCGCCCTGCCTGTTTGCTGCAGATTTGGTGGTATTGCCCGGAACGCCCGTGGCCTAGCTACCCTCGTGCATGCACTTGCATCGATCATGGGTTACGCGCTTCCTGCCTGCTATCAGCAATGTACTGTTTAAACACTTGTATTATGAGTCACATGAACCTGTGTTTAATTTTGGTTCGGCTGTAGGGGCAGACCGAAGGCAAGGTAAGAACGCCTGATGCAAGTTTGCACATGCACTTGGTTGCTCACTCGCCCACACCGGCATTCACTTTGAAGCCGCCAAGTAGCCGCAAGATGTGCATAGGTCGGCTGGAACTACCCGAGCAGCTTCCTGAACTAGCCAAACGGGAGCCCAGTTTTGTGCGTTGTGCGCCAGGGCACAGGATCTGGATTAAGGGTGTAGGCGGCGCAGGACAAGCTTTCAGGCTTGACTATTGTGTGATTTTGACGTTTGGCCTCACGTAGCCAAAGAGAGAACAAAGCAGCGTTGCAGTGCCGTGCCGCAGCACAAAGAGCAGGAAACGAGATTCTCCACGTGGCCGTTTCAGTCGATCGGTTGATCGGTTGGTCGGCCCGTCAGCCGGTTGGCCCATCATTTGATCCCTCCGCTCGAACACTACATCTTTCTCTTCAGGCCTAAGACTCTGAACAATCAAAAGCCCCAAACTCAGCCTACACCCCAAACAAAGGCTAAATCCAAACATTAAGCAGCCGAAAACCTAAACAAATCCAAATCCTAAAGCCTGAACAACACCTACCCGAAAGCTGCAAATAACCCCAAGCCCTAGACCTTGAATAAGCCAGCATGGCAAGCTCCAACAGCGTTGCAGGCGCAGTTATTGGGGTCCCAAACCCTGAAAAAAGTGGGAGCCCAGACCCAAAACAATGATAAGCCCGAAGCCGTAAGCAACCTGAAACCGTCGGAGTTACGATGCAAGCTTAAAAGTGTTGTATGTGTTGTGTACAGCCTCCGGGTGCAGGTGCAGAAGCTCGGCCTAGGTCTTAGGCCTTAGGGGCCACCTTCTCCCTCCCGTGCTTCACATGTATGTTTTTAAACCCTATACCCAGCCTTGTGCCTTTGGGACCCCAAGCCGTCTTGGCTAGACAGCCAGCAAATCTAAACTCTGAGCATCCCCGAATTCAAAACCCTGAACACGCCACCAGCAACCCCAAACCCTTGACAACCCCCAAATCGAAACCTTGAACAGCACTAATCCTGAACGACCCCAAACCCTAGCCCTAAACAGTCCCAAACCTTATGCTCTAATCCAAACAACTCCAAACCCTTCACCCTGAACTCTGTCCCCATCGAATTCGCGGGCCCCAGCATGGGTCAGGCACCAGGCGCACCACCATCTTTGTAATTTTGGTATCAAGTTGCTTCACCATCGCCACAAGATCAAAGACTTGGTCCGGCAATCGCAACTTCTGCACGAGCTCGGCAAGCTCGACGCTCTAGCGTAGCAGATAGAGACCGAGAGGCCGTGGAATGCGTGGTGGACATTGACATGTTGTGCGTCAAAAGCACAGCTCTGCCAAGCTGATGTCAAACAAGAACCAGAGGCGTGCGCGCGCTCGACCAAGGACGAGATTCCTGCAGTGGGACACTGGCGCTTTGGGTCATCGAGGATTATCCTGAAGGAGCAGGGCAGTGGCCTCACATCGAGCAACTCTTGAAAAGGTCTGGCATACTGTTGCTATGAAGCGCTTTCATTACATTGTGGAGTTTGGGACCTTAGGCGATTCCTCGAGACATTGCTTTGGCGCTTTCTTGTCAACAGAGTGTTCCGCCGAAAGCCACAGCTGTGGTTCAGCTGCCCGGAGAGCTTTGGGTCTTTGTGAAGAGGGCGCTGGCGCAGCCAGAGGTTGAGGGGCGCACAGCGGCCAAGGGGGGGTACCCAGCTGCCCGGCCGTGTCTTTTCTCCTGCGCGTTTTCTTTTTTGGCAGGCCGGCCAGCACAGACTGTTCAGGTTCTGCGCTGGACTTGCACTGGTGAAGCATGCATTCCGCATCGCTGAAGACGCTTAAGACTTATGATTTTGTGGGATAGAAGTTCGACCGAGTGGCCTTCATACACCGATTCATGGATTGGCACCTTCGACAATTGCAAGCTGTGTGTTTCATTGTAGTCTGCAAATGCTACTAGTCACCATTTCTGTACCATTACAAGGGCTGGAAAGCACCATTGGAAGTGTAGTGCTATCATGCTTGGATGTTGGGATATTGTAGTGCTCCTGAATCCCGTCCCGGGGCAGTGAGTGCAGGGTGAGGCCCTCATTCGTGCCAAGTTTTCTAGGGAGAGAGCTCACTTAGAACAATAGAGCTCTTTATCCGGTTGCGAAATGGCGAGAAGGAGCATTCGTCGAACCTTGCAACATTGATACCCCAGAGATCTGCCCGTTAGTCCAGGAGCTGAGACGCCAGGGTTACGCCACGGCCTTCATCTGCTGGGGCACGGGCTCCGATCCTGAGGCCTGAAGCTGTCTCTCTGAGTTGCCGTTATTTGTCCTGTGCTGAGCATGTGGCCACATGTCGGAGGATGGCAGCAGCTCGGAAGACGTCGAGCGCTGATAGTTCACCACGTCTAGGCCGAAACGCCTCCCTGGACTTCATGCGGCGTAGTGCCGCATGATGCCGCGTGGGAACCATCGAGCTCTGCCAAAACAGTTGCTGGGTCCGAGTTCAGCCGCAACTGCTGCAACATGGTTGTCTTGCCATGCCCCAGCTTCAAACTTCGTTGGTTCAAGGCTTACCGAACCGATTCCACCCCAAGCAGAAGACATAAACACAGTTCGATGGTGAAACTGCAACAGGTGTAGGCAACTCACGAACTCAGAGTTGAGGGACTTGGCAGCGCAAAATCGTTATCAGCCAAACCTCTTCATCGTCGGGCCCGATTCAAGAGTCATTTGCACGGAGCTCAGTAAGCATGGGGTAGGGCCGCAAAGAAATTTTTCATGAATGCAAACTCGCAGAACATTTGCACGGGATACATACTGCACAAGGCTCAAGGCGGAGGATTGTTGACTGACGATGATCGCAAAACTGCAAGTCCACGCTTGAGGCTTCGCACTGGAGAGGCAAGCCGAAATGTAAGGCCAAGACACGCGAACACACGAAACAGCACTTGCGGACCGTGAAATGGTCTGGAGCAATGTTGCAAAACATCCTGGCAAAGCAGAGAGTTGTTCAAGACAGCTTTAGAAGGGGCAAGCTTTTTGTCCAAAGGCTCTGAAGCAAAAAAACATGTCACTGTGTGGAAGCAGGTTGCATAGCTGCAGGCGGATGCATGTTGCTGCTGCCGTTCCATTGGCTGCTGCTGTCTGCCACCCATCTTTCTTTCACAACTCCCAAGATTCTCAAAGTTAAGAGCGAAATTTTGCCAAGGTGGTGCCTCGCAGCCGAGCTTAATGCTGCAGGATTCTGCACGCCCGTACGTGTAGACTTGTGCGACTTGTGCAGCTGTTGGTTGCAGGAGAGATTTGTGGGATCCACGAGCTGCGTTTTACCAGCAGCAGTCACGCACGGGCCTTGAGCTCGAGCTTTTTTGTGTGATGTTTCCACCAAGCGCAAAGGCCAAAAGATCTTCGTTGCTTGTTTTGCTTGGTGGCTTAGAGCTGTGTGGGATTCGGATGGACAAGCCTGGGCCAAAAGGATCCTTCAAAAGAGAACTGACAGGATATTTGCATGGTTGGCAGTGAAAAGTCGTGTCTTTTCGCAGTACGCCGAAGACAACGCCTTTGGTACAAAGTTTTATGCTTGTGAACCGTCTGGCGACTTAGAGAAAAACTAGAGAGAGAGCATTCCGATTCCCACTCTGGGAAGCGCTTCCTGAGATGGCAACAGCTTTTTTTTTCTCCAATGCGCAAGCCTTTGTCAGAAAGGCCGTCAGCTTCGGCAGCTATCTTCTCTATTTCTAATGGGTTTTCTAGGGGGTTTATGGACTACGCCACGCTTGCCCAAGCCCTTCTATTTTGAGTCATAGGTTGAATTCATCTATAAAGGGAGGTATTGTCCATCCGCATCAAGGAGGTTGATAATTACATGTGAGGATCTTACCAGAGTAATGTTGGGGATCCGGAAAAAGAGTTTTTGATGTCATAGTGGGAAGGAGGTTCGTCTGAGGCTAAATGTGTTATGCGTTGAGACGCCTCAGCCATTGTAGACTCGGCCCAATGGAGACGTGGGCGGCCGACTCTATTCGGGCCCCTGGTGTATCTATATTGCCCAGAAGGCATACAGGTAGAGTTAAATGCAAGTGAATCTGGATGCCAGAATAAATGTCCTAGCAAGGTGAGATGGTTTTGTGAATAGATTTGGGCGGGAGTAATAACTCTCCTAGAGTTGTAGGCAAGCCCCGTAAGAAATTGATTTGAACACCCCTCCGTGGAGGGGTTGAGGACTATGGTAAAATGATGATTTTATACCGAAAATGCGTCTGATAGATTTAAAATGTACATGATCGAGTCTAGTTAGTTGAGGAGGAGTGAGCTGAACGCTGTCCATAGCGTAAAGGAGAATAGACTGGACTACTGACCTATAAACAGTGAGCTTCCAGGAGGGCGGAAGGGATCTGTGCCCCAGTAACGGTTTAAGGAGTTTGGATGCTGAGACAGCTTGGGAGATTCTGTAAGAGACATTCTTCCTATTACTGGAAGAAGCATCAAGAAAAACTCCGAGATACTTTACCTCATCCGAGAGGGGAACCAGGGAAGGAGCGGGATCGTGCCCAGAGCATTGGAAGCAGCTGCACGGGGAAGAAAGATGAGGGGAAAAGGAAATTCGCTCTGTAGAATGGAGACGAAGATTGGCACATTTATCGAAATTGAAAGTAAGACCACGGATGTATGCCTCCCATTGAAGGAGATGTAGGAGACGAGTGAGCTGTTGAGCCGAGTTGGAAAGAAGCACCGTGTCATCTGCATACTCTAGGTCCCAAAAAGGGAAGGGGGTGTTAATGACACCAGAGAGAAGACCAAACTGAGAGACATAGGAGGATTCGACGTCATGGAAGAGGTGAGACAGAACAAAGTTGAAGAGGTAAGGAGAAAGTGGACAACCTTGACGTAGACCACGTGTTTGTGGGAAACAACCGAGCTGTGCCCAGAGTCGCGGACTTTAAATTTAGGGGGAAGCATACAAGGAAAGAATAGATTGGACGAAAAGGGGTGGTACTCCAAAGTGAACGAGAGTTGATTCTATGGCTAAGAAGGTGACCGAGTCGAAGGCCTTTGACCAATCGAGAAAGAGCAAATGAAGGGAGTTTTGCTGGCGTTCGAAAACTTCAAGGATTCTTCGCGTAATATGAATAGGTTGAGTGGTAGAACGTTTAGCTCGGAAGCCGAATTCAGTAGAGCGGATTCTGTCATCAAAGAAATGAGAAAGGCGTTTCTGAACAAGGGAGGCATATATCTTGTACATAGTATTGGTGAGGGAGATAGGTCGCTAATTGGAGAGGTCCCTAG